ACATTAGCCAGCCTCCAGTCTTCCGGCACCTCACCTGTGGCTATCAATGATACTATGTAATTTTACTGATTACTGAAGTCCAAATAAGCAATGTCTAGGCTCTACCCTTATCAAGCTTCTTGGTAACTGACTCAAAAAGCCTCCATCAAGTTTGAGAGACATGGAGTTGCAAATTGAGTTGAACACTGCAATCATGACCAAATATCTACATTCCTACTTTCCAATGGAGGGATGTTCATGAAGCAGCGAAAGGAGTTTGAACAGAGTTTATCACCTTGAGGAATTCCTGCAGAGAGTCTTGGGACAGTGATCAGTGGCATGGTGGCTCAATGGTTAGCACTGCTACCTCACAGTGCCAGGGACCCAGGTTCGATTCCACCCTCGGGTGACTTTCTCCCTGGGTCTGCGTGGGTGTCCTCCGGGTGCTCCCGTTTCCTCCCACAGTCCAAACATGTGCAGGCTAGGTGGATTGGCAATGCCAAATTGCTCAGTGTTCAGGGATTTGTAGATTAGGGGGGTTAAAGGGGGATGGTCTGGGTGGGGTGCTCTAAGGGTCAGTGTGGATTTGTTGGGCTGAAGGGCCTGTTTCCTCACTATCGGGATTCTATGATAAATAACACCAAAATCAACTTCCTTTATGCCAACAATGACTAACTGACATTCCATCTCATTTTTCCTGCTGCAGCACAGGCCTCCAATGTCTGTGGGTGGCAATGGCTTCCGGAATAAAGTCATTGTATCTGCACGCTGACTGGAATGCATGGACCCTCCAAGTGTCTGCGCAGACAGCTGAGAGGAAATATTCCATCAGTTCCGTTTTACTCAAGCTGCTTCATGTCACAGTCTGTCAAACACAGCCTCTCTGCCATATCATCTCTAGACTTCAGTTTGTTGTTCCATCAATGGAACAAGACTTCAATAAGTTCAAAGTTAAGTGCTTCTAGCAGAATTTAAACTAAATATCAGGTGAACAAGTTATTGTTGAGTCAGAGCCACTTTTAAGCTCTGTTCACAACATGTGCCGTCACTTGGCTGATAACTAAGAACAAGCAGAGTAAGTGCTCATTTGACAGGTACATTTGTCTTGTTTTCTGAGAGAGGACATAGCTGGGCCAGTTTGCACAGTGGATGCCAGTGTTTTAGTGAACTGGAACAGCCTGTCTAAGAATGCAGATTCACAGATTAGTCTTTCACGACTCAAAACTTTTTTGTTCCTAATTGTGCCAGATCTGTAATGTTAGAATAACCTCATATCATTCTCTGACACTAACACTTAGTTTTCTTCTGGCTTGAAATGGATCTTGTCTGTTAAGATGAGACTGAGTCCCTCTAACCTTTCTTCAATTGATTGTTGCAGTTTGTCCTGGTAAAATTTCGTCGACTGAAACAGTTGGTAATCGTCACAAGTTGTCAGGTATTCAGTGATCATGATTTGATCTGTGAACAAAAATGGTAAAAACTAAACTCAGTTCTGAGCTTCTATTCAGTATGTTACAATTCCTAAATCTTGCTTCACAGAATCCCTAGTGTGAAAGCAGGCCCTTTGGCCCAACAAGTCCACACCGACCCTCGGAGCATCCCACCCAGACTCATCCCCCTATAAAAACTTACCTAATCTACACATCCCTGAACATTGAGCAATTTAGCATGGCCAATCCAGCTGGCCTGCACATCTTTAGACTGTGGGAGGAAACTGGAGCACCCGGAGGAAACCCATGCAGACACAGGGAGAATGTGCAAACTCCGCACAGTCACCAAAGGGTAGAATCGAACCTGGCGCTGTGAGACAGCAGTGCTAACCACTGAGTCACTGTGCCACCCTAACCAAAGGGGAGAATGATCTGCATTATCAAACAATTTCTTAAAATCCAATATTCTGTAATATCATAGCTGATCTGTGACATAATTCAAATGCCCAGTTTTGCCCCATAGCATTCACATAAAAAAGGAAGTGCCCAACACTCCAGGAAGGAGGTCAATAAGCATCTGCACTCTGCATTTACTACCATTGTATCAATATTACCTCCTCACACAGCACTACTCAAACTCTTCTACTGCACATGCCTTAACCAAGTCGCATGGACTACACAGCAGCAGTACCACTCAACAACTTCATCCTCTATAACAACAATTCTTCCTGCCTTTTGTGCTTCCTACTTACTCACTGATGACACTTCCCTGCTCCTGCATCGCCACTAATGTCTTTTCCATCCACTTCCAGCTTACTCCATCCCTCCCTTTGTCCCATTTCAGAAACAAACAGATGTGGTCCTCTAATTGGAATCTAGGAAACTTGGTAGTAAATTAGTAAGCAGACCTCAAAAGTAGTAAATCTCCAGATTGCTCACTTGTGCAGGAAGTTCAGAAACAGGAAGACAAAGCAGATGGTGGAGGAGGGAGTATGCTTGATCCCTGGGGGAGATAGCACTTGTACAAGTCGGTCAGTTTGCATCCTAACAGAGCCGGGACTGTGTTCCTTGTGGGGTGTTTTGCTTGCGCTGTTTAAGAGGGGTTCCAATGATCTCCGTAGAGGTGTGGGAACAAGGAGTGAATAATAGATAGTTATGTTCGGATGCAAAAAATTGCTGGGAGAGGTAAATGGCACTAAAATAAAGAAAATAGTTGGGTGGACTCAGGCTAAGGGGGAAAAGTAATGAAATCTAAATCAGGATTACATGGTACTTATGTGAATATTTGCAGCATAGTAAAACTGGGGTGTTACAGGTGCAGATTGCTACAGCTTCATAATCCACAAGGCAATAATGGAGAATTGGTTTAAGAGGGCAGATCGGAGTGTTAAATATTCCTTTTTGCAAAAAAGGAAGTTTGTTTTTTTCTTGAGTTTTTAGTTAAGGAGAACATTGTGATAGCAGAGAAAATGATGATGTAGCAGAGGGTTCAAGGGCAGAATCTATGTGGCTACAGCTAAGGATCAAGACATTTGCAAATACATTGCTTTGTGTAGTATGTAGACAACCAGCTAATGGGAAGGATGTACAGGAACAAATACAGCAACAAGGAAATCAGAGGTATAATCATCATGCAAAAGGAGGAATTTAATTACACACATCAAGTGGGATAGTGGTAAAGTAAGGGGCTAGATCGTCCTCCAGTGTCTCCAGATGTTCCAGAGCTGCAGCGGCAGCTGTGGAGCATCTGGTAAGCTGAGTGTATCATGGACAATATGACAAAAAAGGTGGTCACACCACAGGTTAAAATGCCACAGGCAGGAAGGAAATGGATAACCACCAAGGCAAGGAAGAGGACTGGGTGGGCAGTGACCTGTGGCCAAACCCCTACGAAACAGGCACAATGAATTGGAATATGTTGGAGGAACATATAGCAAAGTAGAAATACCCAAATATGTTTACCATGGTTGGCTCTGTTGCATGGGAAAGAAAAAAATAGTAATATAGGATCTAATTGTAAGAGGAACAGATAGACATTTCTGTGGTGGCAAACAAGATTCCATAATTATATGCTGCCTAGCAGGTCAAGGATGCCTCAGAGCAGCTGCCAGACATTCTGAAGTGGGAACGTGAACAGCCTGTGGCATACATCGGAACCAACAATATTGGTTTTTTTCAAAAAAAAAAAGAAAAGGAAAATAGGGAGTTAGGAACAAAGTTGAAAGGTTGAACCTCAAAATGTCATGATTTCAGAATTGTTACCAGAGCAAGGCAGTTTTTTTTTTTTTAAATTCATGCATGGGATGTGGGCATTACTGGCCCATCCCTAATTCCCCAGAGAGCAGTTAAGAGTTAACCACATTGCTGTGGGTCTGGAGTCACATGTAGTCCAGACCAGGTGAAGATGGTAATTTCCTTCCCCAAGGACATTAGTGGACCAGATGGCACTTTTTCGACAATTGACAATGATTCAGGGTCACTATTAGTGCAATTTGAATTAAGAATCTATCTACTGTGGCTGGATTCAAACCCAGATCTCCAAAACACTAACTGGGTCTCTGGATTAATATTCCAGTGAAAATACTACAAGGTCATTGCCTCCAGTAGAAGTAGCAGGATATGTACATGGCTGGAGAAATGGTGTAAGGGGAATGCTGCGATCAGTACAAGCTAGACTAGTTACACCTAGGCAGGACCACGACAAATGCCTGAGGGGAG